CCCCCAAAACCCCAAAACCCCATATTTAAAATTAAATGTTTTATAAAGAAATTAAAGGTAATTTTTATATTATATTGAATTTACTTGAATATCATGTTAGAATATCCATTTTATAAATATGAAATGATTGAGAACAATTGCCTAAAGTGAGAACATTCAAATAATCATTTTCTTTACTGATAATATCCATAGGTGTCAATATCATTGTCTAACTCTTAATAATCTTATTCAGATGAAGCAATTACACTTGAATTCTTCTTTCTTCTTCTTCTGATAACAATTTTAGTTTTTCTTTTTTCCTTCAGATCAATCTCTTCCTATGGAGTCATTCTGAGATCAGTTGACCCAGAAATATTTCTTGTTATCTTTCTCAAAATTGGTTAGGCTTCCTAATCATATCCCTAATTAATTTTAAATGGTGGTGTTTAAGGGTGCTAAGTTTAACCTAAGTTATCCTCTATATCCTCATTATCTAATTCTTAGATAGTTTAGAGATCTTTTATATTATTTACTATTTAGAATAAGCGTGATGAGGATTTTTCAAGGTAAACTTCGCCCACATTTTTCTTTACTTTGGTCTTTAAGCAAATATTTTTGATTATCAAATCATAATTGATGACACTGATCACCATGGCTAAATTTATAAGTAGAATTGCTGTGAAGAAAAAAATAATAGCCCAGCCTATATTGTAGAGATGTCGCATATTGTCAACATTTCCAATTAGAGGCCATTCCATGTAACTTAGGATAAATATTGAAAATTGATTAATTATGTTTAAAGCATTGACACCTTGCATTCTATATGGCTAGCAATCAATTGAGATCTTAACAAAAGCATAAGAGACACCAATTTGAATCAATGTTTAAAGTAGTCCACTAAATTGAAGGAAAAATATTGAGAAGGTAAGGATTAAGTATCTTAATACCTGCAAAAAAGACCAATAGTTTTTGACAAATCTTATGTATTCAAATCTTTTACTCTTCATTTGTCTCCTTATTATCTCTTCATCAAGAATAAAATGGCTGATATGTTAATCTAATGTCCTTGATTTCATAGCTTTAATTTCTTTTTCTGCAGTTGGGGAATTATCATATCTTAGATCAGAGTCTAGATATTTAAATAAAGTTGTATACTTTTCGTTAGAATTAGATTTCTTGTTATTAATATTTTCAATTACATCCATGGATTTATTATTTTGAAGATACCTTTTCAAATTATTGCCTATAACTAGAGGAATAAGGCCAATGATAATAAAAATCAAAATAGATAGCAGGAAGTCAAGTCCAGATTCAAATCCACTGAAGTCAGCCTAGAGAAGAATTAATATTATAAAATTACATTAAAAATTGAAATCAGACAAGCTACGAATATTGGGATGTAGCAAATAATTAAGAATCTAATAAATGAATCTATGTAAAAGTAATTTGTCAACAGCAAGTAATTCTTTGTCACTCTATTGATAAGTTATAGATCTATGTTTTATCTTACTTTTCATTATTTCTCTGCCTAGATCTCGTGTTTTAAGTTATAACTAGCAAAATCAGCAATATAAGAACATAAATTAAGATTGAAGAAATTGATTCAACTATGTAAATAGAATTGAGACTTAGATTAGTTAAGCTAGATTTAAGCAAAATTGTGTGAGTTTTAAAAGATATCCATATTTTTGAAATGTTCCGAATGAGCAAAGTTATTCTTAAACAATGATTAACTTTTGAGATCTACTACATACAAAACATCAAGAAAAGCAATTCTCAAGATATTTTTGAAGAATATTTCCACATTTAAACAATAAATAGAGCCAAATAGCAAAGAAAAAGAAATTATCTAAATGTACTCTAGCATTAACCACAAATAAATCAATCGGATTCCACTAAATAAATTATCAATCAACAAAATTATACAAAATAAGCTGAAAAGCAATCGTAAAGAATATAATCAATAATGTAAACTTTGAAAAATTTTTAGACAGGTAATCTAGGTCTTGAAAAAGTTCTAAAATAAGTATTACAATATTTTAAAAAATTTACAATCTATTGGAAACTGCTATACTATTGGATTGATTATAAGATAGTTTTTAGGCACACTATATTTTCTATCATTTCTCATAAAATAAGATTTTTGCCTGAAAACTATTTTGATGTAATTTAATTTATCCTTTCAAAATTAATCACGTAATATTTACTTTATATGGTGAAACCAATAGTGGATCAGCAAAGTTTAATTGTATACTCATAGATTAATTTTTAAAGTCAGCGATTTGCCATGTATACTCTATTTCTTCAGCAAGTTAGTATTCGTCATTTAATATTCTAATAGCAATTTAGCTTTCATTTATATTCTCATAGTCATTTGGTACCATAATATCTTTAGAAAAACCAATATTTATCAATCCAAACTCAGTCATATTTATAACATAGGGAAATGACATAAACTAATAAAGTTAAAATAATTTTTAATTACTTTTTCATAATCGTCGCCTAGTGGGGGTACTTGGATCTTAATCTTGAATCTATAATTTGTTTCTTGATACTTCAAATTGGTATCTCTTAGTCTAATTTTGATTTCATACTCTCCATTATACATCATTGAGTCGCTTTCAAAAGGGGAAAATTTAAAGTAATTAGGATAAAACTTTGTGAAACTGTTTGCTTTGCCGATCTCAACTTTAATAGAAACTGCACTATCATCATAGTCATAAAATTTAGGTAGTACATAATATTTTACTTAATCTGTATAGACGAGCTAGTTTTCTAGGGGAGAAGCAAAGAATGGAGGGCCTTTATTGACAAGTGATTAACTTTCTCCACCTTTAATGATTAAATTAGCAGTATTAGTAATAATCTCATTTCCAATGTTATTCTTAACTTTAAGTTTGAGAGAGATTTGAATATCAAATTTTGTATCAGGATAATCTCTTTTTCTAGGAGTTCCTCTTAATGTACTAGAACTTTAATCAAAAGTTAACCATGAAGGAATAGAATTCCCATCTTTTAAGACTACTGAAACCTATAATGGAAAATAAAGCGGATTGTCTGTAGCAAATGAGGAAATGGTGAACTGGTATAGATACAGCGTATCAAGTGTTGCGATATTTGGGATAAGTGTGAAAGGTGCAACTATTTGAGGCACACTTGTAACATTTATTAAAAAAGTTGTACTACTTTCCAGTCCGAATAAATTTGTATAAATAGCTCTAATAGTATAGACTCCAACAATTGTTGGGGTACCAGCCAATGTTCTTGTTAAAATAGTATATGTGACACCTGTTGGAAGACTAGTCATATCATGATCTAATCCAACTTAAGTAGCAGATTTTAAAGTGGTTCCTTAGCAGAATTATGGGATAGTTATTGAAATTGATGTACCTTATGGAAATGTATAATTAGATATTTAAGGAGCAATGAGATTAGTATTTGCTGCGCTTCCTTGCGTAAAACTTAGGAAACTTGTAGCCAAATTAAAAGCTGTCGGGAAAGAAGTTACTGTTACAGTAAGTGCAGTTAGTGTGTTATGATTACCTGAAAATTACAAGAAGTTTATTAGAGAAGTAAAAGATATTGATGAAACTTAATAGCCGTTCCAATCAACAAGAGAAGGCGTGCTTCTGATTATTGTAGATGATAATTTAGAGCTGAGAGTATATGGACTTGATTTTGTATTCAAAAGAGTAATTACTTGTCCAAATTTGTCAACTTTTACAGCCATTTATTGGTCTTTAGAATCTGAATCAAACTTAACTTGCTTTATTATTGATCCATCGATACTTTTGATTTTAAACAAATAAGTAGCCCCAAGATTACCCGTAGATTCTGTATAGCAAGTAACATAAACTGATTGACCATCTTAAGATCCATCAACTCCTCTGCAAAAATCATTATTAGATGTAGTACCTGCAAACCTAAAACCATAACTCATACTACCAGAAGAATCAATTTTTATGAGTAAACCACCAAAAAAGGTTCCTGTATCCAGAGTTTTTCCAACTAAAAATAAAGACTCATCTTTATTAAGATATGCGAAATTAATGCCGATGTCATTGTAATTCGATCCATACAAGTTTTAATAGGTTATGACCTATGTATTAAGTTTCATTTTGAATAAGCTGACATCTTGAAATGTATTTGGCGATCTACACGAGCTTGATCCCATGAAATAAGCGAAATTATTGGTAATTTCTATGAGAACATCTGATAAATAATCCTAATAAGTAGGGCAACCGATTGTTTTTGTCCATATTACAGTTGAATCTGATTTAATTGCAACGATTAACGAATCATCATTGCTTTATCCAACACCATATATCTAAGTACCATCTGGTGAAACATCAATTCCGTTTAGAGTATCGATATTCGCAGTACCAATACTTTTAAACCATGATATAGAACCAGTTTAAATACCAAGCTTCCCAATGAATCCATCACCATTAGAACAGCAAGAAATAGCTGAATTATCAGAATACCCAACCATATATACAAATTAATCCACAGGAGAAGCTTTTACATCATTACATATTGTTGTAGATTAATGAAAACCTTTGATGAATTTTGCACTCCCAGTAGATGTTGCAGCTGCTATCAAGCCAGTATTCCCATCTAAAGCTCCACATGCAATGACTTCATTCGTTATTGAAGTTGTAACAGAATAATACTCTGCATTTATAAATGAAGATGATCCAAGCTAGAATAGAGAGAAAAATCTTGTATCAGTTGGGCAAGTTGCAAATACTAATTAAATATAGGAAATTATGCAAAATTATGCATGCAGTAAGTGTTGAACTTTGATATGCCTTGACATTATTATAATATTCTCGGTATAAGTTAATTATTTATAACTCTTATTTAATTTATCCTGATTCAAGGGGTTTTGGGGTTTTGGGGTTTTGGGG